AAGGGCGATGGCCTCCAACCTAAGAGCGATGGCCTCCAACCTAAGAGCCATGGCCTCCAACCTAAGAGTGATGGCTTCCAACCTAAGAGCCATGGCCTCCAACCTAAGAGTGATGGCCTCCAACCTAAGAGCGATGGCCTCCAACCTAATAGCGATGGCCTTTAACCCAAGAGCCATGGCCTCCAACCCAAGAGCGACTACCTCCAACCCAAGAGCCATAGCCTCCAACCTAAGAGCAATGTCCTCCAACCCAAGGGCCATGGCCTCCGACCTAAGGGCGATGGCCTCCAACCTAAGAGTGATTACCTCCAACCTAAGAGTGATGGCCTCCAACCTAAGAGCGATGGCCTCCAACCCAAGAGCCATGGCCTCCAGCCCAAGAGCCATGGCCTCCAACCTAAGAGTGATTACCTCCAACCTAAGAGCAATGGTCTCCAACCTAAGAGTGATGGCCTCCAACCTAAGAGCCATGGCCTCCAACCTAAGAGTGATGGCCTCCAACCCAAGAGCGATGGCCTCCAACCTAAGAGTGATGGCCTCCAACCGACTAGCAATGGCCTCCAACCTACTAGGAATGGCCTCCAACCTAAGCGCGTTGGCCTCCAACCCAAGAGCCTCCAACCTAAGAGCGATGGCCTCCAACCTAAGAGTGATGGCCTCCAACCTACTAGCAATGGCCTCCAACGTACTAGGAATGGCCTCCAACCTAAGAGCGATGGCCTCCAACCTAAGAGTGATGGCCTCCAACCTACTAGCAATCAACCTACTAGGAATGGCCTCCAACCTAAGAGCGATGGCCTCCAACCTAAGGGCGATGGCCTCCAACCTACTAGCAATGGCCTCCAACCTACTAGGAGTGGCCTCCAACCTAAGAGCGATGGCCTCCAACCTAAGGGCGATGGCCTCCAACCTACTAGCAATGGCCTCCAACGTACTAGGAATGGCCTCCAACCTAAGAGCGATGGCCTCCAACATAAAGAGTGATGGCCTCCAACCTACTAGCAATGGCCTCCAACCTACTAGGAATGGCCTCCAACCTAAGAGCGATGGCCTCCAACCTAAGGGCGATGGCCTCCAACCTACTAGCAATGGCCTCCAACCTACTAGGTATGGCCTCCAACCTAAGAGCGATGGCCTCCAACCTAAGGGCGATGGCCTCCAACCTACTAGCAATGGCCTCCAACCTACTAGGAATGGCCTCCAACCTAAGAGCGATGGCCTCCAACCTAAGGGCGATGGCCTCCAACCTACTAGCAATGGCCTCCACCCTTTTAATAGCGGGTGTGGTTACCTCCCCCAAAAAAGGATCTGTTGTCGTACCGAGTCCCTCAGGTTCGGTACGACTGGACCCGACTGGCTGGCAGCTACATGTCGCGGGGTCGAACACATCACCATTTGAGAAGACATTTGGATCCCTAGATTGCGTTGGCAGCGCTTCAGTTTGTGGATCCCAAACGGTGTTTACGGTGGTCAGGCTTGGAGACTGCGATGGCCTCCTAAGAGATCGCTGGTGGCCTCCAAGTGCTAGCTCACAATCCACCAACCCTGAGGGTCCAGGTATACCTCCTTTTCGGAGGGTCGAATGGAGGTGAGAATGTACTGCCAGGTACCGTCTTTTCCTGGAGCCAAGAAAAGCGCCATGCGCGAAACGCATGGTCCACCGGTCATGGTCCGGTCGCACCGTTGATTCACTCGCGCAGACATCCTTTACCATTGTTTTACATCATCGTTTTTCAAAACCTGCATTTTGACACACCCCAAATTGTAAGTTACATGTTTCACCCCCCCGGGCGTAAGGTAGTAGTGATTGTTTTACTAGGGAAATATAATATTACAGTGAAATTGTGCAGACATGCCTCACGGCCTTATGGCTATGATCAAGTGTAGAACATGTTTCACATGACACGATACCGCAGGCGCCTTGGGCACAAATCTGTCGAGTTTGGTAGCGGAGCCTAGTGCTCCGTTGCCGATCCTTCCAGCGCCGCCATAGGCTGCTGGCGCTCGGCTTGGCTGCTACCGCGAGTTGCGCGGTAGGCTCTGGTCTGCAGGGCCTTTGGAGGAGGAGATCGAGATCCTGCTCGGTCGGTGGCAAGAGAAGGTCAGAAGGCTCTGACGAGGACAGAAAACTACCTCACTTGGGGTTGAACCCAAGAGGAACAAACAACACAGAAAACTACCTCACTTGGGGTTGAACCCAAGAGGAATAAATACTACATCCTTGAGAACCTCATCACAGGCCCCGTGGACTCCATCGATTACAAGATTGTTGGACTATGAATCCACCCACTTCTGGGAGCATTCCGCTCCAGGAGTATCGGCGGGACATTCCGCCGGGCTGGACTCCAGGTGATGCTTCGTATCCCTTGAGGACCTACTTCGACAAGCTGAAGCTTTGGTACCGGATCGCCAATGTGGAGGATGAAGCCATCGGTCCACTGGTGGCTGGACGACTCTATGGTCGAGCATCCACGATCGCCATGTCTTTGAGAGTGCCAAGGCCAGACGGCACCTTCGATGTCGGCGATGCAGCGTTGGTTCGACTAGCTGTGGATGAAGTCCGCGACCCAGCGACCAATGTGATCATCCAGAACCACATCCCCTCAGGAGTGCAATTCCTGGCCAACGCACTCCGCACGGCGTTCGGTCAGCAAGATCAAGATCTGGCGACACAAGCACTGGACAAGTTCTTTGGCCTTGCAAGAGGAAAGCTCAGCCTGTCCGAATACAGCGTCGAGTTCGACAGCCGGTACGATGATGCTCATGATAGAGCTGGACTGCAGTTGAACGATGTTGGCAAGTTCTTCCTATGGTTCAAGAACTCTGGCTTGCCATCCAAGACGGTTGATGACATCAAACTGCAGGTTGCTGGCGACTATACTCGCTTCAACGACGCTCGAGCTCTGGCATTGCGCATCAACCCTAATCGGCGAGAACCTGATGACGCCCAGATCCTCTATGAAGAGAATGATGAGTCCTATGGCGACTACGACGCCTACTACCAGGACTGGGGCGATGATTATGAGGCCGAGGATTCATGGTGGTATGGCTATGAAGAGGCCGATGAAGGTGAATGGGTCTATGAGGAGTACGCCAACGACGAGAACTACTATGAGAACCATGATGCCAGCGATGAGTCATGGCAAGAGGTGGACCTTGAGGCTGGCATGACATCTGGTTCAGCAAGCGACTCCAATGTCTCGGGCGAGTACAACGAAGCCTATTACAAAGGAAAAGGCAATGGCAGTGATGATGGCTGCTTCAACTGTGGCAGCAAGTTCCACCGAGTTCGAGATTGTCCACTTGGCAAGGGCAAGAACAAGAAGGGCAGCCACAACTACAAAGGAAAAGGAAAGTCAAAAGGCTTCTGGAGATGGCGACCCAACTTCAAAGGAAAGAGCAAAGGCAAGAGCAAGCATCCTTGGAGAAGCAAAGGCAAAGGAAAAGGAAAAGGCTTTGGTCGAAAAGGCCACTACTACGCCTATCAGGAGGAGGACAACTACAAGCCTCGTGGTGGTCTGTCGATCAGCGAAGGCATTCCTGATGCCTCAACTCCGCAAGAAGTTGCCACAAGCTCCAAGGAGGTCAAGACGACCAAGAAGACCGAGAGCTTCGTGATCCACACGTCATCTGAGGATGAGGACTTCAAGAAGCCAACTGAGGGATATTCAGGTCAGCCTGAGTATACTACGAAGGATCACTATGACAAGAAGCTCAAGATGAACTTCATGGTCTTCAACATGAAGAAAGAAGAGACACAGATGAGCTACCATACCATCCATGGGCAAGAACGCTATGGTTTGCTCATTGATCCCGGAGCTGCATCCGGGCTGGTTGGTAGCGAGACCCTCAGGATGCTCAAGAGTTGCTCCATGGGCGAGATGGAGATCAACCGCAACAAGATCACTCCAGTTTCCGGCATTTCAGGAAACAGCGAGTCAACTCTCGGAGAGGTCACGTTGACCATGGCGACCGCAGGACAACCCATCACCTACACGGCGGAGGTCATTGGTGGAGCTGGAAGCCTATGCCCAGCACTGGTTGGCAACCCGACTCTTCGTCGATTGGGTGCATCGATCTTGACAGATTGGTTCGAGAATGGTGATGGCATGCTTGTTCTGAACACCAAGGACGCCATGGATGCAGAGGTTAATCACGTGAAGTTCTTCAGGATCCTGCTCACAGATTCTGGACACTACATCCTGCCTTGTGACAACGTTCAGAACGAGAAGGTTCCAAGAGCTTCGAAGCACGAGGCCATCGCTTTCTTCCAGAAGATCACCGAGATCACTTCGAAAGTTTGGCCTGACGTGCAACCACGGGTCAGACACTGCTTCCATTCCCAGACGGCGGCAGAGGATGACCGGTGTGATTACAATCGTGAACATGAACGAGACAAAGGCCCAATGAAGAGCCAAGATCATGATGTTGGTTGTGATCATCTGGCTTGCGAGAATGGAGAAGAAGATGAACTACGGAATCCTGTTCCCTCTAGGAAGATTCACTTCATCGATGAGGAACAGCAGAAGAAGTCCGAGGAGCCCTACGACCTCATGAACAGCGAGAAGAACAAGAGCCTATCACCAATTGCAGAAGAGCGCGACTCCGAGGACGAAGTTTCACCATCAGCCATTTTGGCAGAGCAGTGCATGAAGAACGACAAGAGCAAAGAGCCTGCGAAGAATTCAAACCACTTGATCAACGAGCACCCTGCCGGACCTGCCATTTTGGCCCCGGCAATTCATGATGAACAAGGCCTACGTGAGGCAAGCTATGATGAAGAAAAGAACGTCTTCCTCAGCTACACTGGCGACATGATCCCCGAGACGGCAGATCAAGCCAAGTTGAAGAAACGATACAAAGCAATCCCTGAGGAGTTCTACACCAAGAGCGGATTGACGCCGGTGACTCCCAAGAACTTTGACAGCTGGTTCAAGAGAGTTCGAGGACGAGGATTGCGATGGCACTTCTGGGAGTTGTTCAGTGGCAGTGGAAGATTGTCGCTGACGTTGCTTCTTGCTGGACTCATGGTTGGTTTCCCCGTCGACTACCGGTACGGCTGGGACATGCGGGTAGCAAGCCATCGTGGCATGATCCACGCAGCTTACGAAGAGTTCCAACCTGGAGTGATTCATATGTCTCCGGACTGTGCACCATGGTCAGTTGCGGCATCTACGAAAGATCCTGATGAGAAGATGTGTGAACGTCTACAAGATAGACCAGCACTACAACTATGTCAAGATCTTTCTGCACGACAAGATGCCAATGGCCGTGGCTACAACATAGAACAACCTTATGGAGCACAATCATGGCAAGAACTTCCAGAGAATCCTCTACGACTGCAACGAATTCCTGGCAACAAGAGCAGACAGAGAGTGGACCAGTGCATGCATGGAGCTCAAGATGAACACGGCTACCCCATCATGAAGCCCACTGGCTTTGGATCCAACATTCGTTGGAAGCACACTGGACTTCGATGCGGAGGTCACTGCGGTGTTCCACACACTCAGCTCAAAGGCACAGGCCCATCTGGTCTGACCAGGACTTCGATGTCAGCAGTCTACCCAAAAGGAATGTGCCAACGCATGAAGCAGGACATCATCCAGTACCTGGCCTACATGAACCTACTCAAGCTGAGAACTTGGCCACATGATGCTTACGCAGTGACGCTTGGTCACTACTATGATTGTGTCCGATGCCAGCTTGGACGTCATTGTCCTCGCAACATAGAGCACACTTTGGTGCCTGGACAGTGTCGACATGGACGATGGCCATCCGAAGAAAATCCACGAAGAAAGAAGAAGCTCGAAGCGGAGATGGACGCCATGAAGAAGTGGAAGCAAGAGGCCGAGGCGGAGCTCTATGAGGGCGTGGAGATCAAGAATTTTACCAGCAAAGCGCTCTCCGTGCCAACCACACACATGCTCAAGAAGCTCCTCCTCGAAACCATCAATGCCACTATGGGTGTCTTCAATGAAGCAGCAAGGAGAAAGATCGACTATGTTCACTGGCTGGACAATCCTATGCTCATGAGCCTCTTTAAGGAGTTCTTCAAGGACCTGATCCAAGTCAAAGGAGTGAAGATTGAACTCCGACCTTTCCATCTTGCATCAGCAGAGCCGAAGCTTCCATTGACATCATCATACCTACGGATGCAAGTGAGAGGCAATGTGAAAGCATGGGACATTCACCCTCCAGAAGATTTGCGAGAGATGAGTTTCAGCCAGATCAACGCAGCACTCGACGAGGATGACTGGGCAATCACCATCTATGGAGTGGAGCACGATATGGCACCTTCGCCATCAACACCAGCATCAAGGCCAAGAACAAGACCTGATGAACCTGGTATCGTGCAGCCTGCCCAGAACCTCGACGAGATGGATGAGAAGAGCATAGCTGATCTCAAGAGAGCACCCTTGACACCTCCAGTAGTACTCGATCGACCAGGAGACCCAGCTGAACGAGATCCAACTCAGATTGCACCTTATGAAGATGAGGAACTGCAGACAAAGTCAGTTGAGGAGATCAAGCCATTGAAGCCGAACTACAACTTGCGAAGAGTGTTGGTTCGCATTCCGAAGCTCATGGAAGATGAGAACCACACGAAGGTCAAGCAACTCCTACTTGGTCTTCACGAGCGGCTTTGGCATTCTCCGATCTCCGACTTCACGAACTTACTGCAGAAAGCTGGAATGTCACCTGAAGTCATCAAGTTGGCGACTGAGGCGGTTCAATGCTGTGCCATCTGCAGGAAGTATGTCAGACTTCCCAATCGTCCACAAGTTCGAGCACGAGGAGCAAGCAGTTTCAATGAATCAGTACAGATGGACCTATTCATGTGGGAGAACACCTGGTTCATGCTTCTTTGTGATGAAGCAACTCGCTTCAAAATGTGCACGACGATTGAAGGACAAGAATCTGACGATTTGCTGACGGCATTTAAGAAGGCATGGATCTTTCTATTTGGACCACCTCGGCGACTTGTTCTCGATCAACAAGTATCTTTGATGTCACATGAGACTGCAGCAGAGTTTGAACGACTCTCCATTGAGCGTGCGCCACGTGGCACAACACAAGGACATGGAGCCGAACAGCACACTGGCACTGGCTTGGTGG